AAGTAATCGTTGAACAACCCTGAATTTAAGAATTCTTGCATCTGTGACTTTTCAAAGACTACCAAAGATTTTATATCCAATACTGGTTCTGCCTAACAACACAGTACATGGTAATTATCTGACAATGTACCATGGAAAATGGTACATGCATACACCCAAACATATTTTAACCTATTTTAAATTTTACATGCATACACCCAAACATTCTTTAACCTATTTTAAATTTTACTTTGTGTCCTCCTGACAACAGAGTAAGGCTGAGGAGTGGGAATGGGAAGACGGGAATTATACCTTGGCTCCTGGGGGCAGGAGGCTTCCCAGCTACAGGGCCCCACCCCTGTCCAGTAGGGATACCACCTCCTCACCCTAGAGCTGTGTGCTGTGGGCCATGTCCAGGGCTTTCAAGAGGAACATCTGACCTTCAGCCTTCTGAATTGAGTAGCCTTTGGGCTGGCCTACAGAAGCTCTCGCTGTAGTCTGAGTTCTGAGAACAGGAAGAGCCTCTGATAGGTAATCATGTCCTGTCCCTGGAGCCACAGTTCCCTTCCAAGACATAGCTGCTTTCTGTGCCTTGTCACCAGGTAACAGCCACTTTGCCCAGGTCTCGGTCACAATCCTGGGCGCTCACTCACGTACGCTATCTGATGCGCTTGTACCTGCCTTTCTGAAGAAAGACAAGAAGACTTGCACACTCCAGCACACACACTGGAGTTCAGCAGGCACAAGACATAATATTTTCATGGCTAAGATTCTTTCTGACAGTACCAGGTACATTACTAAATATTCTGACCATATCACCTTATTAAGCTGACGTCAGAGAATACCCAAGGACTCCTAGATCCTGCCTGGGGATCAACTGTTAACATTTGTTTTAATCTGTTCAGGATGCTATAACAAACTACCTGAGATTGCGTACTTTAAAAAAAATAGGAATGTATTGTTCACTGTTCTAGAGGTTGGAAAGTTCAAGAAAAGGAGCTGACAGACGTGGTGCCCGGCAAGGGCTCCTTCTCCGCCTTGTACGTGGCACTCTGCTGCTTCATCCTCACTTGCAGAAGACACTGATTCCATTCACCAGGGCTGGGCTCAAAAGGCCCCACCTCTGAATGCTACCACTTAGGTTTTTGGTTCTAATAGGAATTTTGGAGCTGGAGACACCAATATTCAGATCATAAAAATACTTAATAGAAACACATATAAATAGAAATAGATATAATAAATAAATAAATAGAAATAGATAAAATAAATAAATAAATAGAAATAGATATAAAATGCCAAAATTCTAGCTTTATCAAACAGGGCCAGGGCTAACTGGGATCATATATACTGCAGTCCATGTAAGGAAAAAAGCTGGTGACCCCAGCCATGGCCAGGTAGAGAGGTATAATTACAGCTTGTTATGGTTTGTGTCTGGGTGTCCCCCCAAAGCCTCATGCGGCCATGGGGCAGGCTTTTAGAGTTTGATTGATTGTGGGTGCGAGAGCTACACCCGCCCTGGGGTGGATAGTTTGCATACGTAAGGGAGAGCAAGAGGCTGCTTGAGGCCATTCCTGGCTTTTGTGCTTGTTGCTTTTGCTGTGTTCTGCCACCATGAGCTGTAGCCCTCTGCCATGTGCCACTCTGCCTTGTAACCTGCCAAGTATGGACTGAAACCTCCACAAACTGTAAGTGAAATAAACCTTTCCTTCCTTCATTTTGGGTGTCAGGTATTTTGTCTCAGCAATGAAAGAAAAGTAACCAAGACACAGCCAAGGAAGGAGAAAAAACCCCAGTCCCCAAGCATAGAAACGAAGTACAATAACAGATACATGTCAGGGACAGGAACCACAGCAGGTCAAAAATAAACTAGAGAATCCAAGACCGCAACACAAACCAGGTTTGTGGCCCGAGGGCCCTGCGATGCACAAAGCATCCAGGTGACCTACAAATTAAATTACGAGGACTGGGTCACGGGCCCTCAGAGGACAGAATGGCACTCTTCTCATTTCACGTCTCTGTGATCCTGTGAGAGCTTTCGGTCCTTTCACGCAGCTCAGGGCATTCGGCATGACTGACGGGTAGAACCTCTGTGCCAGGCACCAAGGCAGGCACTGTGTTGTCAGAAAGGAAGGAATCAGGCCCAGTCCCTGTCCTCACGTGGCTCACACTCCAGCAACGAATCAGCGATGCTTCTACCGCTTGCCTCTTCATATCCTAAGAGCGATGGCAAAAACGCAACCCTCCTAGGTCTCCTGGGTCACACTACACAGGAAAGCGCTTGGTGCTCATTTCCAAGCATGCCCGCCCCTAACACCAAGCACAAAGAGTCATTTCAGCACGCTGTCCTTCAGAGAAAGAAATGGGGGTTGGCGGGGGACAAAAAGGTCTTCAGCTACAGAATCCTGAAGACACAGACGAGATCACCGTCAAATGAGCTTCTCATTATAGTAAGATCACATGAAATCTTCAGTTACAGTAGTAAAACTTTGGGGCCCGGGATGTAGCTCAGTGGCACAACACCTGGGTGACGAGGTCCTGAGTTCAAGTCCCAGTACCAAAAAAATAGTACAACTCTTTCTTCATAACATTTTCCAAGAACAATATATCAACATTGTAGAAAAATCTGAATAATACTTAAGTTAAAAAAAGACAATAAAAGCCACTGGCAATTCTGAAATAGCCAGAGATAGGCACTATCAATCCTTTGATATATATTTTTCTCCAGATAGGCTGATAAACCTATACAGAAGATTTATATAAACACATTCAACTATACATTTTTAAAAAATAGTGTGACACTAATACAGTTTTAGACCGTACTTTTCTTAATGTCGACTCTAACTTGGTAGACATTTTTTTAAGAGAGCTGAGAAACATTAGCCAGTTTTGTTGTTTGCTGATGGGAGTAGAATTTAAAACCATCTCCTGTAAGTGTGCTTGGGATTACTACTTCCAAGTACACTTATCTTCAAAATTCCATTTTGACTTTAATCTCCCATTCTTTTTCTTCCCATTTAGTTTGTCTGTTAACAGTTCAAGGTCCGTAGCTTGGATGTTACTCACCATCAGAGCTGCCTATTGTCTGTAAACATTCACAGAAGTGTTACATAGACCATCTCCAAACCATTTCCTGCAGCACCTATTTGTCCACTCCGAAGTACCTACTGATCCCCACTTTTGTCTCTGGTTTCTTGGCCAGCTTCCCATTCATAACAAAAGATTGTGAATAGAGAGGGAACCAGGACTTGCTACTTGATTAGGCTTTTTGGAAAGATTTTACAATTACATGTTCTGTAACAGTGTAAGAGCAGATACAGTGTTTGCCTTTAACTCAAATGCATTATTCCTCTTTTCTCCAAAACAAGTCATTATTTACTATAACCTGTTTGCTTGGAGTACCAGTATCCCCATCACCCACATGGATGTGGTCAGGTTTGACAGGCCAGTGTCCTTCCCGAAATCCTGTCCTTGGCAGGAGCTCTCAGGACGCCAAGCAATGTCCCACCAAAGGCCTAAGCTGCTGTCACCGACACACTAAGTTTCCTCAGTACACCTGGGCGAGAGCCTTCTGGTGCTGGGGGTATACCTGCACCTCCTCTGCTGATCAGGTCTGGAGTACCCTGGACACCTGCTGCTCCTTGATCCATTACCTCCCCAGTGTGTGCCCTGCTTGATAGAGACTGAATGCGAGAACGTTACTCAGCAAAACCAGTGGCAAAGGATTCCTTTACAGTCCGCTTATCTCCCTTTGTCTCTGGGCACGGTTTGTAGGAGGAAAGCCAAGCACGCCACACTCCTCCTCTCAGTCTCTGTCTTGCGTTACTGAGAAACTGATTGCAAGGATGCTTCCCCAGTTAGTTTCTGGCTACCTCACGTCTAGTGCACACAGGGTCTGGAACCGTTTGAAGGCTCAATTTTAAAACGTTATTTTTCTATTACACGTACCTAAGCATTTTGTTCCTTCTTTTATTTTTTCCCTCCTGAATTTAGTGTTTTAAAGAGCGTGAGCACAGGGCCTTTTCTTTTTTTTAATCACATTTGTATTCTTCACTTTCTTTTGAGAAACTGGCCTTCTTTCAAGTATTTTTTCCCTAATATGTCAGCATCACATTCCTTTGAGAGACAGATTTATATCTGACACTTCTCTCTAGAGCCCCCTCTCCCATGAGGACAGCGAACTGAATTAAGACGCACGTTACACTCATTATATGCTCCAATCTATGTGGTACCTGGCAGGCGCTGAGTGAACGGTCCCTGAATGAACGGATCACATCAACTGCTACCACCACGTGGCTCTTGCAAGGTGTCATGCAAAGCACTTTACACGTATTACATCATTAGCTCTCAGGTGCTTCCCCGCAAACTTCATTTGCAAGGAATTTGCTCAGGAACCCCTGGCACCTACAGCAAAGCTGCTACACGCTGAGAAATCACTAGGCATTTTCTGCATGGATGAACTGAAGAACTGAATGAGGTAGGTACACTATTCACGCGTTACCCAGAAATAAGCTAAAACACAGAGGCTGAACACTTTCTGCAGTCCCACATTACATGTGAAGCCAAGATTTAAACCAAAGCCCACACACTCGAACCATGACTTCTTAATAAATTCAACACCTACCCACAGCAACGCAAACAAAACCAGCTCCATTTATCTTTGTAAATATTATCCCAGGTCACAATTAAGTACTGTGAGCAACAACTTCCCAGGAAAGGATATGCAAATGATAGGCCTTTAATAAACAGCCAGACAGGCAAATAACTATAAGCTTCTTATTGCTAGCTATGCAAGTAAAGACACGATTTCTTTTCAGGCAATGTCTTCTGCCGCATTTGTTCGCTAGTTAATGGGAATTCCTGAACTTTTCAAAAACGGGTGCTTTTATTCCTACAGTAGTTCTTGGTTTACTTGTCATCTGTTTTGTCAATTCTTTTAAAAATAACACCAGTGAAGTAATCATTTAAGACTTCGTTGTTTGAGACCAAATGGGAAATTTCTGGTTATAAAGTAGGAAACTTACTTGTTTCTCAAACATCTCTGCCACTACATCACTGGGTTTTCCTGAAACACTGTCGTTCTTTGGGACGTCACTCTTTGGGGTTTTCAGTACTTGTATCTTTAACTCGCTGGTAAAAATAATATAATGAAAAGGGTGGTAACTTAAAATCGTTATTCGCTTTCTCCTTGTCTTTATCAGTCTACACCTTTGTAGTGAAATTTAGCAGAGACCAAATGGTTTGGGAGTGGGACACAACGGACTCTGAGAGTATGAGATGAACAGAAAAAAAGAGATGCAGAACACAGAAACAGGCAAACACTACAGTTGCAACTCGGAATGAAGAAATTAAGAAATGGAGGAAGGGACATAAGGAGGGAGGAAGGGAGGGAGGAAAGAATTTGGAAACCATGTGAATCTGAACTCTGCTATTTACCCTGGAAAAAGCAATCTCCGAGAGCCTCAGTTGTTCCATCTGTACAGTGGGGATGATAAAAATAATTACTTGAATAGTAAATTTCAATGTGCTATGTAAAACCTACAGCATACGGTATTTTTTTTATTTGATATTGCTTGCCTAGAATCAGCCCATTTATGCTTTCTGTACTATAGACATTCATCTTACAAAGTCTATCAACAGCTTCAAAATATGGTCCCATCAGCTGTGTCTACCTTTGTGATCTGGAAGCACTTCTGGTGTTTTTAAGCCAGGAACCAAGTTTTGGCATGCTTCGTATCCGTGCAAGCTCAGAGCACTTACCCCGCGCTTTCAGGACCAGAGTGCCATAAACCTCTGTTTAAACAAGGAGGCCTCTTTCAGTCCAGTTTCAGTCTGCGCCTTTGGCTGTGGTGGAAACTAAACTTGAAAACAGACAGATGCTTTACATTTAAATGGTTTTAACATAAATGTGCATTAAGCCATTTCATGGACGATTGCACAAATATCTTTTGCAAACTTGGTACACGTGAGCACATACACAGTAACCATTCAAGTCTCCCAGAGAACGAAGGTGCAGACCTGAAATTTTAAACAGCTACTTTGAGTTCCTTTCACTGGAAAGAAAATGTAATGGCTTTGAGGGAATTGCTCTAATAATACCAAGGCATCTGCAATGGCTGGCCAGAGCCGAGCAGAGCAGAGTGTATGTCACTGCAAGTCAATTTAACAAGAAATAAGCTTCCCTCTGGAGAATCTAAACTCCCCTGCCTCCCACAAAGAAAATTGAATTTTGGAGGTCACACCTTGGGTAGGCTACCAGAGGGAGCAGCTTAACATGCCTTTTGTCACATGCTCTGGGAGGTCAACGCTGTTTGAACAACGCATCCTACCAGAGATCTGTTCCCAGCTCCCCCCAGCACCCCGAATTAGAGCAAGCGCCTGGAGTCCGCCAGGACGGCGAGCGACTGTGGCACTCGCGGCTGGCCGGGTCCACTCCGCCACGATCGCGCCGTCACCGAGTTTGGAGCCCCACAGCGAGGATCGAGGGGTCCGGCGGGCCGGGGGGCGCGGGTGCCGGCCGC